CAGTGGCACCAGGTAGCCCTGTTTTCCATGGCAACCCGGAAACCATCCCTCACAAGCAACAGCATTCATTTTTTTGTTTGTTTGTGTTGTTTTTGTTTTTTTTTATGGTGCTGGGGACTGAGGTCAAGGTGGCATGCAACTTGAGCAACTCCCTCAGCTGAACCACACCAATTTCATCCTCATGATCCTCAGCTGCAGCCTTTGAGTAGCTGGGATTACAGGTGCTAACAACTACAGGTGCCCACTGAGCATTTCTATCAGCATGCATGATGATGATCCTCCCCAGAAGCTACTGCAGGAAAAGTCTGACTCAAGCATTCTAGTCTCTGAGGCTGGCAAGTCCAGGAAAACCAACAAGAGAAGCAATCAACCAGTACATTCAGACATCAGATATAGAAGATGAAAAAGGGTAGCAGAAAAAAGAATCAAAAGAATTGGATTTAGGCTCAGATATGCTCTCCAAATACCCCTGAGACATTTCACTCCTCCAAGCCCTAGGTGTCAGGAGATGGATTATGTGCAGACTCTCCTTGGGCTTCCAAATTGCATGAGGGAAAAGGGTTCCTGCTCAGGGGAAGAATCAACTAACTCCACACTGGTTCTCCAACCCATGTGCTAGTGCTTACCGACCCACCATCCTGCCAAATACTGCTCTTTGTGCAGAAATACAGTTCTCCCTGGAGCAGATCAAGTACCAAGAATCCAGCATTTTCAACTGAGGTAAAGTTTTGTTCCTACATTATTAACTCTTACAACTAAAAGAGCCCAAACTGTAGCCTCAATTCTTAAAATTGTGGTTCCAATAATAATCTTGCTCCATTTCTGGAAGACAGGAGAAGTGGGGGTGGGGGGAGGGAAGACGGCCTCAGAAACCTGACCAGCATCTCCTTCTATTTATACATGTGACTAATTTCTCTACTCACCACTATATCAGGTTGTGCCTACAGTTGATTCCATTTTGTGAGCTAGCGTTCCTGTGCCCACATGCACTTCTATCTCCTCAGACTCCACTCTCCCATCACCTCCCACACACACCTCCCTTGGCTTTAGGACAGTGACAAAAGTGCTCAAATTATGAGAGCACTGACTTTGCAAAACATCAGAAGATGTACTGCAAAGACACCATTAATTTCACTGTATATCATGCAAACTGAAGTCTGTCAGGCTTCAGTTGTGGTTATGTTAGGTAGGTCATGATAGTTAATAATCACACAGCCTAAATTATGCTCAGAGCTAACTGAGCAGAACAACCTGTGTGCATGCTGCACATGAGCTGGCTTTGCTTAGTAGCCTGCAAACACAACGCTGACATACTGCAAGGCTGAGGGACGGGTAATTTCCAGGGACCACACCGGAACTGTGGATGTAGGGCTGGCTTTCACATCCTTAGGTTTTGACAGTGCTGAAGTTAGAAACCCTTGGCTTGTTTCTTTAGATAAAGGGTCTCAAGTCCCAACTGGCTGAAATGCCTAATTGAATCAGATACTGCAGCACTGTGGCTGCTAGCAAAAGAGATCTGCCAGTGTCTCTGCAAATCTCTTAATTAAAATCAAACATATGACAACTGCTCAGCATAAAATAGGAAAAGGAAGGCATACCAGAGTAAATTTCCAAAAATCTTCAAAGTTCTAAACTAGCAAATAGATTTACTTCTAAGTGCAGTAACTAAGTAATTCTGTATCACCACAGTGAAAAGCATGGTCTTGGGTCTCTGATCCCTCCAGGAGGGTGATGTTTAGGCCTAGCACACTGCTGTGGTCCATAAGCAGACAAAAAAATCAGAGGATCTAGGTTTCAGGTCAGCCCAGGCCAAAAAGATGTTGAGACTCCACCTCAACAGAAAATTCAGCAGGGAGCAGCAGTGTGCACCTGCCAGCCCAGGACCACCAGTCCATTCACGCCATCAGGGATGAAAAGTAAGACCCTATCTCAAAAAATAACTACAGAAAAGAAAGAACTAAGGGCCTGGGTCACATGGCAGTGTGCGACACAAAGCTCTGAATTCAACCTCTAGTACAGAAGACAAAAATTGCCTTAAGAGGCATTTTTTTTTAAGTTAAGCCAATGACTGACATTTACTGCTCTTGCTTCAAGCTTTAGAAATAGTGTCTTTTACAGATTATACCAACAGCCACCAGAAACAGCTATGTCTTTCTTATTTCAATATTCTCAGAGTCACTACAAAGTTGGCAGAAAGTGTAGATTCCTAGAACTTCCTGGATTATTAAAGAAAACTTAAAAAAAGAAGGGCCTAGGAGACGTCGGCTGCACCTTGGTGCCATGGCCCGAAATGCAGAAAAGGCCATGAGGGCCTTAGCAAGATTTCGCCAAGCCCAGGTGGAAGAGGGAAAAGTGAAGGAACGAAGACCTTTCCTTGCTTCAGAATGTACAGAGTTGCCCAAAGCAGAGAAGTGGAGACGACAGATTATTGGAGAGATCTCCAAAAAAGTAGCTCAGATTCAGAATGCTGGTTTGGGTGAATTCCAAATTTGAAACCCGAATGATGAGATCAATAAGCTGTTAAGAGAAAAAGGTCACTGGGAGGTGCGGATAAAAGAACTTGACGGCCCTGATTATGGGAAAGTTGGTCCTAAAATGCTGGATCATGAAGGGAAAGCAGTCCCAGGAAACCGAGGTTACAAGCACTTTGGAGCAGCAAGGGATTTACCTGGTGTTAGAGAGCTGTTTGAAAAAGAACCTCTTCCTCCTCCCAGAAAGACACGTGCTGAGCTGATGAACACTATGGTTACCTAGATGAAGATGATGGTGTTATTGTGCCTTTGGAGCAAGACTATGAAAAGAAACTGAGAGCTGAGCTGGTGGAAAAATGGAAAGCAGAGAGAGAGGCTCGGCTGGCAAGAGGCGAAAAAGGAGGAGGAGGAGGAGGAAGAGGAGATCAACATTTATGCTGTCACTGAGGAGGAGTATGATGAGGAAGGCAGCCTGGAGAAGGCAGGTGAGCTGAAGTTCATTGCTCATGTTTCTGTGCCATCACAGCAGGAGACTGAAGAGGCCCTGGTGCAAAGGAAGAAAATGAAACTGCTTCAGCAATAAGCCAGGGAGACCCTTCAGGTTCAAAGTGAAGAAGCCAAGAGGCTCCTGGGATATTAGGACAAGTGGGTGTTCTCATTGGAGTCTGGAGGATATCGTGGATGCCAGTGACCGCCCTTCCCAGGACTACCTGCATATGCAGCTGTGGCAGGCACCACCTGGCCTCCTTTCCCATCCTTTGTCCTTGCACCTTTTTCTGCCTCATCAGCTGGTCTGAGGGTAGGATTCTGTCCCTTGTCTCCCTGTAGCTGTCAGGGTGCTGAACACCGGGGCCACCAACTTCATACAAATGTCTTTGCTACCCTATGAATCCATTCGTTTTATATAGGGATATGTAAAACAGGTTGCCACCTACCTAAGTGTCTTACTCCATGACTTTGAAAAGAGGAGAATCAACTACAGAGGCAGCATAAAAAATGTGATTTTTTTCCCTATCTTCTCTTGAAAACGGAATCTCAGTTTCCATTAGCCAGAGCCACCTGAAGTATTTGCTTTACCTCTGTGCCTGGCTGGGGGAAGGGAATTGGAGCTAGAAGCATCTGTTTTATTATCTGCTCTGTAAATAGCTATTTTCATTAAAGATTTTTATAAGAAAGGAAACCTCTGTGGCTGCACTTTGTTCCCTCAGGTGACATACCGAGGTGACATAAGGTTGGCCCATGAAGTGTGCATCTCTGCAGTCAGTCAACAGACATTTAAGAAGCACCTACTAAGGGTGCTCCATAAGTAAAGGCGGAATCCATCCAGTGTGTAAACATTTTAAGGGGTTTTCCTCTAGAAACCTGCCCTGCTGGAGGAAGGCCCTTTGGCAATAAGCCAGGCTGCTTCTGAAATCAAAGGCTCCTGACCCTCCTGGCCATCTTCAAGGGGCCCCTGGACAGACAGGATCAGTGGGAGGGGAGACGCCCTCAGCCACACTTGCACTGGCCTCACGCTCCCACCCGCGGCTCCCGACTTTCCAGGCCCCCGACTTTCCCGGCCCCATGCTCAGCCCGGGACAGGAGGCATTACTCCCTCAGCCCTGGAAACCGTCCCAGGGCCACCCGGCCATGCTCTCCGCTTGGGCTCGAATCCCCTGGCACTACTGCCTCCTCCTGCGGGGTGCATGGCGGGTCCACGCCTCCAGCCCGGACCCCAGAGGGGCCCCGACGCATCCCCAGGAGCGGGAGTTTGCGGGGATCGCAGCTGTCCACGGCGCCCCCGGCGCCTCCTCGGCCTCATCCACCGCGGCGGGCCCCGTACGCGCTCCCGGGGCGCTTCTCGGCTACACACAACCACGAGCGCGGCCCAGCCCCCGCCAGCCGCGTCCCGGAGCAGCTGCTGCAGCTGCGGACTCTGCCGTCACGACGCCCCGCGAGCCGGTCCCGGTGCACACGTCTCGCTGGGGTCTCCGTCCTGAGGCGTCCCGGGATACCGCACCGGCCCGGGCGCCCTCTCCGCTGATCACCCGGCCCCTGCCCCGCTCCGACCCCCTCCCCGTCCGCCCTGGAGCCCCCTGCCCGCCATCCCCACCGCCCCACGCCGGTCCCCTCCCGCGCACCCCGGAGCCCTCCACGCCGACACCCGGTCCAGGCCCCTCCCCGCCGGCCCCGGGAGCCCTCTCCCCTCCCCGCCGGCCCCGGGAGCCCTCTCCCCTCCCCGCCGGCCCCGGGAGCCCTCTCCCCTCCCCGCCGGCCCCGGGAGCCCTCTCCCCTCCTCGTCGGCCGGAGGTCAGCGACCCCGCGCGGTGTGGGCCAGAAAACTACGAACCTCCCCGGCGGCGGCGGCCGGGGAAGGGGGTGTGGGAATCTCCGGCAAATGGAGCCCGACCACCCCCCCCCCCCCCCCCCCCCCCCCCCCCCCCCCGCGCAGTGCACTGAGGCCCCGCGGCTCGGCGGCCCGGCCAGGCGGGCGGCGAACCGCTGCTCCCCGCCGGTCCCTGGCTCCGCTGCCACTCCGCTCGCACTCACTCTGCGAGTCGGGAGGCGCCGCGGCTCTCACCAACTCTTCCTCCCGCCGGCCCGCCGGCCGCAGCCTCCGTCTGCACCTGCGCAAAGCACCGCGTGCTACCCAGCCAACTCCCTCCAACCGCCGGCCACCCGCGCCCGGCGCTCGCGCCCCCAACCGCCGCCCACCGCGCCGAGGGCGGGGCCCGACTTCCCCACGTCCCCACCTCACACAGAGGGAACGGCCACAGCCCGCGCGCAGACTGCGCTCACGCACCGAGGGCGCAGGGAGAAGGCCGGCCACCGGCCACCTCCGCCCTCCGCGGTGAATTGCGCTGCTTTTTTCTGTGGAGTCTTTGAGTTGGTGAAAATGTAAAAGTGTGGCAAGCGTGTGGTTTGAGGTGTTGGTAATTTGCCTTTCCTTTGCGTTGATTTCATCTTTTAGGCTGTATGTGGACTTGGGGACTTGTATGAGGACGGGTACATCCCGTGTGGGCCAGGGGCCCTGGTGGTTGTGCAGAGGAGGTGGGAGCCCTGGGCTTTGCAGCATGTCCCTGCTTGTTCACTGGGGTGTCCTCTCCCTGTGTGGACCCGGTGTCCCCTTACCCAGAGCTGCTAAGTGGCTGCAGAGCAGCCCTCATTGTCCTGAGTATGGACAGCTCCTCTGAAGTTATACTTTCACATTTACACAATTTTAGTATCTGGGGACAGATGCCAAAAGTCATCACTCACTTTTTTTTCCTGTCTTATTAGGGGCAATTTTAGCTTTAGAATCTTATTATTTTATGGACTGCTTTGTGCCTCTGACCTGCTTCTTTTTTCCCTGGGATGTGTCCTTAGAGGAAGAGGCTTACAGGATTAATCACATCTGGAATATGAACTCTTCTCTTCCAAAGGGAACTGTGGGCTCTGTTTCCTTAAACATATGCATATGTGTGCACACACATGCACACACAAACATGGATGCATGCATATATGACCACACAGCCGCACACACATGTGCACATGCACATACACATTCTGAAATGCATGCACACACATGCATACACATGCTCATATACATATGCATGACTTCACAGGTACATGCTCTCACACACATACATATGCACAGGCACACACAGACACATGCATACACACATGCTTACAATGCCCACACATATACACACTCACAAATGCATATATATATATTTATACACACATGCCCCAATACATGCAAACACAGATGTATTCATGCATAGATGCATTCACACACATGTGTGAGTAACAGCTTTTTTTTCCATGAAAGGGCTGAGCTTTTGGAGTCCATAGCAGATTTTTCAAATTTCATGTTAGGTCATTTTAATGATGCTTACTTTCCCCCATGTCAGCAGTGGCTTTCCATTTGCCCCATAGAAAGGAGGGTCTCTGTGGGTGTGAGCTATGATTCATAGTCTGTGCAGGTTGCTGCCATCCTATGGTGTAGTGGCTGCTGCTGTTTCTTATGGATGTGACTGGGCTCTGAGCTTTTCCTGGAGGGAGGCTGGGCCTCTCATTCTTGGCCAGGACCATCATATCTATTGCATGATTTTTGTCAATTCCAGAACTTGGGAAAAATCTTAGCCCAACTTATATCTTTATGAAGCGCTCCTCAGCCAGATGTTGTGGCTCCAGCCTGTGATCCTAGCTACTCGGGAGGTGCAGATTGGAGGATGGTACTTTGAGGCCAGCCTGGGCATAAAAGTTCTTGAGACCCATTCAATCAATCACTGGGCTTGGCAGTCCATGCCTATCATCCCTGAATGGAAGCGCCAATAGGAGGATCACAGTCTACATTGATTGGGGCATAAATTGAGACCTCACCTTGAAAATAAACACTGCAGCCTGGTGCTGGTGGCTCATGCCTGTAATCCTCTTTACACAGGAGGCCGAGATCTGAGGATCATAGTTCAAAGCCAGCCCAGGCAGGAAAGCCCATGAGACTCTTATCTCCGATGAACCAGCAGAAAACTGGAAATGGAGCTATGGCTTAAGTGGTAGAGTGCTCACCTTGAGCTGAAAAACACAAAGACAACATCCAGGCCCACAGTTCAAGCTCCACAACTGACAAAAATAGAAACCAAAAAACAGCAACCCCCCAACCCCCTCCCCCACAAAACCCACTGCATCAAGCAACTGTTGAAGTGACTCAATAACCTGAGCACTTGTTTAGCAAATGGGAGGCCTGAGTTCAAACCCTAGCACCACCAAAGAAAACTTTTTCTCCTCTCTCAGGGAATACAGCTCATTACAGACAGTTCTTATTCTTCTCTCAACTGAACTGCAAAAAAGTTGACCATGGAGACAAGCCATTTGATTTCACCAAAGTACATAGGTTAACATTCTTGACAGGAGCAGTCTGGGTGTCAGTCTGACTTAGGAAAGCCATAGGGTCGGCTCCATACCTGTTTGTCAGCTTTTGTCACTGGGACTGAACACCCAGGACGGCCAAACTCTAAGGAAGAAAGGTTTATTTGGGTTTCAGAGAGATGGGTCATGGTGTCTCAGCCCTTTGTCTTTGGGCCTTGTGGCAAAGCAAGTCCTCATGGTGGAAGCACAGGATGGAGCAAAGCTGCCTACTTTATGGTGGCCGGGAGGCAAAAAGAGAGGAACACGAAGGGGTGGGGTCCCACCATCCCTTAGACAAGTCTCCAGTGACCTGACTTCCTTCCACTGAGCCCTTCTTGCTAAGGTTCTAGAACCTTCCAGGCTGCCATCAGAGCTAACACCTAGGCCTGGGGGTGGGGAGCTGTCGAGGTTACACTCTAGACAGTCAGTGGTTTGAAGATCATTTCCAAAGACATCCCCTGTTGTTCTGAACCTCTCTCCACAGCCTTAGGAGGCTCAGGGGAGAGTTTGCAGAGGTTGGCTTGTGATTTTTCCAGAAGGAAGCTACAGACTTTTTAGGGATAGGATTCTGGATGAGGATGCTGAGTGAACAGTTTGCAGAATGTGGAAGAAATGTGTGAGATGTTCCTGCTGGCTTTTAAGGAATACTTCAATGGTGGTTTGTTTGTTTCTTTTAACCCATATTTGATGAAGCAGAGTGAGCACAGCAGACTTGTGATGGACTGATGTTCTTGCTTCAGATGAGACTAAGTTGCAGTGATTTTAAGAGATATAGGAAGTATAATTGGGTCAAGAAAAGGCCTGGGCAGCACTGATGCACTGCAGAGCCTGTGTGGGGCCTGAGCTGGTGCAGAGGCTGGATAGGACATAGCTTGAAACCTCAGTGTTGGTGATGGTGACAGTTGCATTTGGAGCATAGGACATAGCTTGAAACCTCAGTGTTGGTGATGGTGACAGTTGCATTTGGAGCATTCACTGCAAAGAAGGGTGCTCAGTGAGGGAGTCAGCCTATCTCATTTAATCCTCACTGCAGCCTTTTAACTATTAGTACTCCTATTTCATTTAAGAAAAGTTCAGGGCTGGGAAGGTGGCTCAGTGGTAGAGCGCTTGCCTTGCATGCTTGAGGCCCTGGGTTCGATTCCTCAGCACCACATAAGCAAAAAGAAAAAAGCTGGAAGTGGTGCTGTGGCTTTAGTGGTAGAGTGCTATCCTTGAGCTGAAGAGTTGAGGGACAGTGCCCAGGCCCAGAGTTCAGGCCCCACGACCGTACACAAAAAAAAAAAAAAAAAAAAAAAAAGAAAAGTTCATAGTTCAGAGAGTGAACTCATAGAAGGTGGTAGATCCCGACAGAGGCAGAGTTGAATGGAAAGATGGCCTGCAGTTCTCTGGATTGTGCTTCAATAGGGAGGTGCTTTTGTTAGAAGATTAGAAAGGCTTTGGGACAGGCACTCACTGTAGCTCCTGTCTGTAATCCTAGCTACTTAGAGGGCTGAGATCTGAGGATCTTAGTTCCAAGCAATCCTGGTAAGGAAAGTTCATGAGACCCTTATTTCCTGTTAGCTAAGAAACTGCCAGAAGTGGATCTGTGGCTCAAGTGATAAAATGCCAGCCTTGAATGGAAAAGCTCTGCAGCAGAGTGTGAGGTGCTGAGTTCAAGTCCCAGTACTGCCACAAATCCCCAAGCCCCAAACCCAGAAAGACACAGGAATAATTTCACATAATTATTGCAATGGATTTGTTTTTATTTACACTTCCCTTTTCCTCCTCTTTTTATTTTTTTGGCTGCTGGTCGTGGGGTTGAGTACTGTCTTTGGGTTTTTTGTTCAACACTAGTACTTTACCTCTTGAGCTTCAGTTTCACTTCCACCTTTTTAGTTATTATTTTAAGATAAGAGTCTCATAGGCTTTCCTGCCTGGTCTGACTTTGAACCATGAGTCTCAGATCTCAGCCTCCTGAGTGGTTAGGATTACAGGTGTGCATCACCAATACCCAGTACTCCTAACTGATGCATCTCTGTTAGAATGCAGGAAGGAAGTGACGTTCCCTCCGTTCTTGGTGTTCACTGGTGGAAAATGAAGTTGTGATGAGTTACTCCGCAAGTGCCTATAGAGAGGACACAAGAATTCTCGTCCTGGTCCCTCATAACTTCATATAGGCTGTTGTCAGTCTTCAACCTTCCAAGCACACTACCCCTCCATCTCCAACTTCCAGACTCAGGAGTAGAGAGAAAGAATCCTCTGTTGTTTCAGCCATGTAGGCTTCAGTAAGCTGCTAGAGCAGGCTGAATTGACAAAGAAAGCAAGTCTGGGGAGGTGGGAAATGTGTGCTTTCGCTGGGCATCCTGGAGAGGGAGGGCTTGCCTTTACCTTTCAACTTTATTTTCCTCATTTCTAGCAGTGGGTAGGACCAACATGGCTTTAGTCAGTACTTTTTAAGTAAATGAACAAGCTGTTGAAGATTCCAAAATGGTTCCTATTTTGTAACCGAAGACAAGTGAATAATAGAATACGATTAAGATCAATGAGCAACAATAGCCACTACTTTTAGGATGCATTATGCTTTAGGAAGTTGAAAGCCAAATGTCCTGAGAGGTCCCCAGATGGAAGTGGTTCTTTTGATCTCATAGTAATAGCCTTGACCTCAGACACCAATTAGAAGAGAGATTGTATATGAGACTTCTGCTTGAAAATTATCTCTGTA